GGCACACACAGTAGGTGCTCAATAAATAGCGACTGAATAAATGAATGGATTTTAATGATGTTAAGAGAAGAGATGAGATGCTAGGATTCTTTTTTTTTTTTTTTGGAGATTTCCATTTTATTTATTTATTTATTTATTTATTTATTTATTTATTTATTTATTTATTTACTTGAGACAGGGTCTCGCTCTGTTGCCCAGGCTAAAGTGAGTGCCGTGGCGTCGGCCTCGCTCACAGCAACCTCAGACTCCTGGGCTCAAGCGATCCTCCTGCCTCGGCCTCCCGAGTAGCTGGGACCACAGGCATGCGCCACCACGCCTGGCTGATTTTTTCTATTTTTAGTAGAGATGAAGTCCTGCTCTTGCTCAGGCTGGTCTTGAACCCCTGACCTCAATCGATCCTCCCGCCTTGGCCTCCCCGAGTGCTGGGACTGCAGGCGGGAGCCACCGCGCCCAGCTGTGATGCTGGGACCTTAAAGTGCTGCCCACCCAGACGAGCGACCTCCACTGGGTGTCTCTTCCCAGGGACTCCAAGGTGCTTGGGGCAAGCGCATCTTGACCCTCCGTGGGTCTCGACCTACGGGCTGGTCCAAAACGGAGTAACAGAGTTGGGAGTTGACGCCACGCCCACGGGCCTCAGCTCCAGCACCGATCTCCCGGGGCACAGAGATTCTAGACGTGGTGCCTGCCTGTGGCCAAACAGAGTGAGAAGCAACCCAGGGCCCCCAGGCAGGCTAGCAGATCGCTGCACCAAAGAGTCCCTAAAGCAACAGCTCTGGGCTGCCCAGCGGAAACCGGGTGTAGACTCAGGCCCTACACCCTGGCGTGGAGAAACCCTGCTGGCTGCGTGGGTGGAGGGGGAGGGGTTACCTTAACTTTGGAAACCCCCAGACAAGGGTTCTTGTGCAAGCAGTTTATTGGGGAGGTGTTATAAATGGAATTGTTGTCTCCCCTCACCCCAAAATACGTTGACATTCTAACCCAAGTACCTCGGAATGTGACCTTATTTGGAAATAGGGTCCCTGCAGATGTAATTAGTTAAATAAGATGAGGCCGGGCGCGGTGGCTCACGCCTGTCATCCTAGCCCTCTGGGAGGCCAAGGCGGGAGGATCACTTGAGGCCAGGAGTTTGAGACCAGCATGAGTAAGAGCAAGATCCCATCTCTACTAAAAATAGAAAAATCAGCCGGGCGCGGTGGCGCGCACCTGTAGTCCCCGCTACTCGGGAGACTGAGGCAGGAGGATTGCTGGAGCCCAGGAGGTGGAGGCTGCGGTGAGCTGTGATGACGCCACGGCACTCCACCCAGGTGACAGAGCGAGACTCCATCTCAAAGATTAAGAGCTAAGAGGAGGTCACACTGGAGTCGGCTGGGTCCCAACCCGACAAGACCGACGTCCTTCTAGGGAGGGGAAGAGAGAGCGCTGGCATGCAGGGAGACGCCGTGGGAAGCCGCAGGACTGGGGGGGGGGGAACGCGGGTCCCACAGTGGAGGCGCACCGGGGGTTGCTGGCGGCCACCAGAGGCCAGGGCGAGGCAGGCAAGACTGTCCCGGCCGTCAGAGGTGGCTCTGCTGGCATCTTGAGCGTGGGCCTCCCCAGAACTGGGAGGCAGCGACTCTCTGCTGTTTTAAGCCGCCCGGTTAAAACAGGGCACTTTGTCACAGCGTCCCCAGGAGTTGACCCCAGGAAGCGCGGGGCAGGGCAGGGAAGGTGCGTGGTGAGAGGGTCACCCCCGCGGGCAACCCCACAGGGCAGAGCCTCAGCCTGGCGCCTGGCAGGGAGGGAGCCGGGGTATTTATCCAGCGGCTCCTCCGAGCGCAGCCCTGGCTCTCTGTAGCCAGAGGGGGCAGTGGCAGGCCGTCACAGGAGGAGCCGCCATTCTCGGGGCGTTTCCCAGCAGAGTCGTCCGGCCCTCTGGGTCGGGATCGCTGTCCGTGGCCGGGGCCGTGCTGGGCACCGCGGGCAGCTGACACCAGCCCTGGCTCCTCCACCAGCCCGATGCCAGCAGCAGCCTCTGCCCCGGGCAGGGCGACAGCCGGAACCGTCTGGGGATGCTGCCAGGCGTCCACCGGGGTCAGGGCCACCCCGGAGTGAAGCCACGTCCATGCACGCATTAGGGCCAAAGCCCTGCTCCGGCCCTGCCCAAAGGCCAGGGGCGGGCTGCGAGTGCACGGAAGGTGCTGGAAAGCTGCTCCGAGTGAGGGGCGACTGCCAGCAGGGCCAGGGTGGGGGACGCAGCGCGACCCCACGACTGACTGAGCTCCCTCGGGCTGCCGCAGTTGTTACGACGAAAAATTCATACGCGTGTCTAAAAGGAGCACCATTTGGATTGGGGGGAGGGGATGCAGGATTTACACAGAGGTCACCCGGGGCCAGCTGTGTTCTAAATGCTTCCTGTGTCCCCACCTCACTCGGTCCTCGAGCCCTGTGAGGGAGGATTGTGCTTCTCTCTTCTCCCCATTCTGCACATGTGGACATGGAGGCACAGAGAGGCCAAGTAACTCGCCCAAGGTTGCACAGCAAGGAAGCGGTGAAGCTGGGAGGAAGCCGGGCGGGCTGATGCCTGAGTCTGGGCTCTCATCCACTAAGCTGGCTTCCCCAGGGCCGGCTCAGCTCCAAGCTGAGAGGCTTGCAGGACAAACAGCCCCCGGACGGTGCTGCTTATGACTGTAGAACCCTCTGGAAATTCGTGGTCCTGCATCTTACTCTGAACGCCCAGATCCTTTCTCTGGATGTCCAAGCCCGCGGCACATGTCCTTCTCTATGTCCACAATTTCCCCAATTTCTACTTCCATTCTCTCTCTCAGTCTCTAACCTTCCCCGTTTTCTGCTCTTTCCTTCCCAGGAGGGTTCGGATCCCGCCGAAGCCCCTCTGCACGCCAGCCTCGCAAAGCAAAAACCCAGAGCCCATAAACCCCCAGCCAGCTTTGGCCACCTGGGCGTAACTCTTGTCCAGGCTGCCTGCAGGCGACCCAAGAGAGGACCCGAGCTTGGAACTGCTGCCGGTTCCCAGAGACGCCACGCCCAGATGAGGTCTTCAGGCCAAGCAGACCGCCACGTCCCTTCCCCACACGCTTTAATCCCTCTCCGTAAACTCTCACAGTAACGCAGAGATCTGTGTTGTCTGCGCTACGAAGGACACCCTTGAGATGCGGTGACTTGTGCAGTGCGTGACACACACAACTGTTCATGTGCCTCCTCCTGCTGCCCACTCGCAGGCTGCACCCTCACCCTCGCCGTAGAACGGGCCACTGAGGACAAAAGGATCAGTTCTTGTAGATCTCCCTCCACCCCCGAGTCCGGGGTGGGGGACTCCTTGCGGAACATGTGCTGGGACGGGGGTGGGGTGGGGGGTGGGGAGAGTTCAGCTTCTCTGTGTTCAGGAGAAAGCCACATACTGCTCCCCGGGCAGGCGAAGCCCCAGCCCAGCCTTAGCTGGCAATTTTAGGCCTTCCGGCGGGCAAGAGGGGACCTCCACGAGTCAACAGAGGGGCGCGAGTGAGGAGCAGCCCCCTGCCCCCCAGTGCTGACAGGGGACTGGCTTGGGGCCGTCTCACCTGGGGAAGGTGTACGCTGCTGAGGGCGTAGGGGGCTTTAAAACCTGCACATCTAAATAGCTACCAAAATTACAAATGCATTTCGTCTTTGACCTCGCGATGCTACTTCTGGGAATAGACAGCCCCACCCCCACGCCCCCATCCTGCAGCTCCGTCTGCAAAAGCACAAAAGGAGGCGCAAGCGGCATGGCTCGCAGCAGCGCCGTGCTGGGTGTCAGCGGACAGCAGACCATCCGCGCAACTCTCCCCAGGGGACTGACTCAGTGAGCCGTGGGCAGACACACAGTAGAATAGTACGCAGCCGTGCAAAAGACCAAGGAGACTCCGTGTGGCCTGCCATGGAAAGGTGTCTAGAATTTGTTATGAGAGAAAGAAAAAAAAAAATCAAGAGACTAGAACAGCCTGTTGAGGACGGTGCCCTTTGGCGTAAGAAAGACGGGGCAGGATGCAGAGTTGGTTATGCTTGCATCTGCATAAACAAACGTCGGAAGGATATCCAAAGGAACTCGAGGGATTGCCTAACAGAGACACGGCGGGGCGGAGGGAGGGACGGGTGTGTGTCTTTTCAGACGCGTCTCTAACGTCTCCGAGATCTGGGTCGAGGGCACTAGCGGAGCCCACATGCTGTGTGTAAATATTTCAAAGCTGACTAAATAAAACATGCGTTAGGCTTGCACTTTACACACCTCCACGAACACTCAGAAGGTCAGAGTGGGATTTGGCATCCGGAGACCTGGGCTGGGCCAGGGGGAGGGGGATGGGCAGCCCCGGCCCTGCTCTCCCCACGCAGGGCTCTGCCCCCCAGGCAGGGGCTCCACGCGCGCGTGTGGACGTTCTGGCGTGTGGGCCCATGCTCCGGCCACCCTCCCACACCCCTGGCCCCCAGGGGGTCACAGACAGACCCACGGAAGCTCACACGAGTCCACGGGGTCTGGGTTTGGGGCAGGGAATCCCAGGATCCCGGATAACCCAGAGTGTGGCCTGGAAAACGGGGCACGGGCTCCTGGCAGACATGTCCCCTTCAGCCCATGGATTCCCCGGCCCCAGGGGAGGAGCAGGGCCAGGTGGGCCCCGGGCGGAGCCCCTCGCCCATGTCTCTCCGTGTTTTGTCCATGTCAGCATTTGCACCACACAACCTTTCCGCATTCAGAAATCCAAAATCGCATTTCAACACCTGCGTGATGAAAAGCTACGCGGCATTTGTGCGCCTTCCGGACGAGAGGCCGTCCCTACAGCTGGGGTTCTGCCCACGAACCCCTGGGGTCTGCAGAAGCCCGAGCCTCCTCCTCCTCCGGCCAGCTTGCCCGGGGCTGTGCTGCGACTGTCCCTGGGCTGCCTTCCCCGGCTCAGGGCCCCTGCCCTTGCAGCCTCAGGAATGTCACTGGCCCCTGAGGGCCACCTCCCAGGGACCGTGCGGCCCACATGCCCTGCCCCCGCGCCACTCACATTGTAGAGGAGATCGGTCCACCCTTCCATGGTGATGCACTGGAAAACAGTCAGCACTGCAAACAGGATGTTGTCGAACTGAGTGATCCCGTTGTTCGGCCCTTCCCAATAGGGCTGGCATTTGGTCCCGTTGGGGCAGGTGCGGGCCGGTTCCTCTGTCCCACACGGAGCCGGAGACTCACCCTGAATGTCATCTACGACAGGGCAGAGGAGAAAAGTCAGGGGAAGGAGCAGGGGAAACCAGCTGTGAGAAATAGGGACCCCGTTGCTGAAAAAAAATGGCTATTTTGGGGACAGACGTTCTCAGTCTCTTGGAAGAAATGAATGTTTGGCTTTGTTGACTGTTTTCTATTTCATTCATTTCTTCTCTAAGCTTTATTACTTTTCTTTTCCCATTTTCTGTTTCCTTTGTTTTGTTTTTTGCTGTTCTTCCCTAAACGCTTCAGATGGATTGACTTTCTTTAAGGCTATAAATTGACTTTAAGTGCAGCTTTAGCTGCATCTCATAATTTTTGTCGTGTGTTACCATTATTGTTCAAGTAACATACTTTCCAATTTGTACTGTTATTTCTTCTTTGACCCGTGGGTAATTAAAATGTACTTATTTTTTTTTTAAACTTACCAGCTATATATACAAAGAGAGAGAGAGAGAGAGAGAGAGAGAACAGTATAATGAATCCACAGGTCCCGATCACCAATTTCAACACTTATCCACTCCCAGCCACTCGTGCTTCATCTGGATCTCCTCCAAACACTTTGCCTTGCCCCTGGCGTCTTTTTAAAGCGAATCTCAGACACTGTATCATTTCACCCATCAACAAGAGGCACCTCTCTTAATTTCCAAACACTTCTAGAATTGTCTTCTCGTTACTGAACTTCCAGCTTAATTGCATCGTGGTTAGAGAATATGTTTTGTACATTTTTTTTTTTTCCAGTCCTTTGGAACTCTGTCCAGATGAGCCTCACGGTTCCTGACATGACCGGTTTGGGTGCGTGTGCGCGCGGCGTGCAGCGTGCGGCCACCGGGCACGGCACCCTTCACACATCCGTGGGAACACGCGTTTCTTCTTCTTCCTCGGCCTTGCTGACTTTTTCCTCCTCCGGGCGTGCTGGGCGCCGGGAGCTGTCCTGCGGGGTGAGGGCCACCAGCACACACACACAGTTCCCAGCCCTGCCGGAGGGCGAGGAGCAGGCGCTAAGCTCTCTCCCCAAACAGCAGGAAGCAGATTGTGAAAATGCCACACGGAGGGAGGAACGTGCCAAGGTGACGCCGCCCCTTTTTTGCTGGAAACCCAGGACAGCTTCCCGGGAAGGTGGCAGCCGTGCCGCGTGCGCCCGCAAGGCTGGTCCGGATCCCAAGGTGCTCCCTGCCAGGCTGGGGAGGACGGGAAGCTCCCGTCCCGGGACCGTCCCCGTGTCACCAGAGCAGCGGCCCCCCGAGAGGACTTCAGCCAGGGCACCACACTCTTGAAGGGTTTTCAGAGAAGAGCGTGACATCGTCGTCCGACAAGACAAACAAACAGCCGAGTGTGTAAACTCGAGCCTCCTACTCCAAAAATACACAGCTCAACGTTTGGGCGACGGGCTTTTTGGGGGCCGGTTCCCAGCCCCGACTGAGCACGCAGCGGCGAGACACGGACCAGCGCCACATGAGTGAATCTCGTGGGCTTTGCAAGCTCCGGTGACACAGGGACAGACTCTCAAAAGTCCGGCCTTACTAGGCCGGTTTGAGTCGCTGGAACTGCCTTCCCCACTCACGCTGGGCTTGGCCCGCGCGGGCTATGATTTATTTAATAAAGACAGGCTGGAAGGCAAAAATGTCTTTTAAACATAAAGCTCAGGGCAGAGGGGGAAAAAAAATCCATGGGCTCTTATCATAAATGAGAACTGTTGCTTGGGGATTGGACCGCTGTCTGGAAGCTTCTCTGTCTCCACCCTGTGTTCACATGCGGCTCGGTTCCCGCCGTGTAGACCCTTTGTGTCAGCCTACTTTAACCCAGCCCACGGTCCGCTTCCTTTCCAGCCTGTGATCGCTCCTGGATTTTCGCATTTGGGGGCAGGGGGGAGCGTGGATGGAGTTGCACACCGGCTTTCGCCACTAAAAGTGGCTTTAACTGGGGGGGTCTTCCCGCCTCTGCGTATTTCGGAAACTCTTAGAAAGCAGGAAGGCTCCCGACGCATCTTGGCTTCCTTGGGGCTTGGCTGGGCGCTAGGCACATGGGGACCGGGCCCGGCACTCAGCAACGCGGCTGACAAGGCGTCTGTCCGTCTTGAGCACCTTTGCCCAGAGGTGTTCTTGCTCCCAGCACCCCCCAACCCCCACCAGACCCCCCAATTCCCGACACGAAACGCCGAAACGCTCGGAGGGGCGAGCGTTGCTTCTAGAAAAACCACCATGCAGAAGCGGCTGAGGAATCGGGTTATAAATACATTTTAAAATTAACCCGCTGCCGGGGTGTCTGTATATATCTGTCTCTTACTCACACGTCTTATATTTTTAATCGTGAGCTTTTCAGTCTTTCTCCTAAATCGAGGCTTCCTGCCCTGCGATTTCATCACCCACATCTGTCCCCTCTCTCGACCCCTCTCGGACCCGAGCCAGCGCCTCTTCCTCTTTAAACCAGTCTTGGCTGGGGGGGAAATGAAAATGAAAATCCCAAAACCTCACAGAAACCCAGGATCCAGGCGTCCTGATGTCTCTGCTCGTGGCTGGTTTTTTTTTTTTTTCCAAGGGGCTCTGCCCTGTGCCTCTCTCTCTCTCTCTCTTTCTCGCATTTCCGCCTGGGTGACGGGGCCAGGAGCAGAAATAGCTCTGCCTCAATTAACACCTTCTTCATCGGGGAAAGAAATAATTAGGACATTCCATATTGAGCAAACTTCACAAGCCCAGGAGAGAAGGAGACAGAAGGAACAAGAGAAAAAGAAAACACGCACACACGCACACAAAACCCCAGCCAGCCTCTCGAATAAACCTTCTCCGCTGGGTGTTCCCTCCCCCGGGAGGTCTGGGGAGGGGGTTCGGGGGTTCGGGAGCTGCCTCTGCTAATCCACCTGGTTGGGGAGGGGTCACTGGGTGGAGCAGGAGGGGGGGGTGGCCGCCCCCCAGCAGAGTTTTCCTCCACGCCGCCTTTCCTAGTAAGACCTGAACCCTCTTTCCCTGCCCACGTGGGGCCCCTTTGGGTGACGAGCTTCTCCCTGACCACTCTCCCAATTCCTGGCTCCCTTGACCCCAAGAAAGGGTCACGACCGGCACTGCCACTCGGTCTGCCTGCACCGGGACAGCCGGCGGTGCAAACACAGACATACCGAGGACGTCCGTTCCTACTCATTCCATTTCATGCTAGGGCTGCAGGCATCTGAGTTTGGATTGCCAGGGATTGAAATGAAAATGCATCCACAAGCTGCCGGGTCCCTGAGTGTGGGGATCGTGGGTGCTGGGGGGCGTGGGCGGGCGGGCGCTGGCTCTCCCACGCTGCTGGTTCAGAGCTGAGAGCCCCTGCACCGTGTCTCCGGCCTGCCTCGCTTTCCCCCTGAGCACCCCACCCCCAGAATCGCCCTAGACCCAGCCACAGAAGGGTTAACCTGGGGTGCGTTGGGGGAGGGGCAGGGCTCTGCTGGGTGCTAGGTTTGGATGGGCTGGTGCCAGGACTCCCGGCTGGGGGGCCTTCAGGCACATCCTGGGTGGGGGGGGAGGACCAGCAGGACCCATGCCGCACTGTCCCCTCCCCCCGGGTAACGGGTCACCACCCACAAAGCACCCGGGGCTGCAGCCCTTTCCTGGCCAGGCCGCCCTTCCCACCTCTTTCTGCTCTGGAACTCAGGGCTGGCTGAGGCCTACCTGTGACACCTGCTCCGCTCAGCCAGGTGCGCTGGGACGTGAGTGTCCCGTGCCAGGAGCGGCCCTTACCAATGTCACACAGACGTCGGTGGGCAGGGCCCCCATCCCCCTGCCCTGCGGCCCGCACGGCACACAGGCTCTGAGCCATGTGTCCTGCACTGTCCCCCAGAGACGCTGTGGGGCCGGCCCTGGCTGCCCAGAGCGGTCAGCCGCCTGACAGCTCGGCCTTCCCCAATGCCCTCCTTTCCCTGCCTCTCTTCCAAACCCCGGGGTCCTCCCCAAATGAACCCCTTCCCCTCTCGGGCACCTCCTTGGGGGACCCCAGCCCAAGGCCACAGCGACAGCCACGGCCTCAGGGGCTGTTTCTCAGGGGCTGTTTCACGAGCTGCCCTTCTGAGGGAGGGTCTTCCCTCCGCCGCCAGGAGGAAGCTGCGAGCCCCTCCCCGCACCAGCCCTTCCCAGAGCCTGTCCCGTCCCCGGGGCGGGGAAACCGGAAGAGCACAGGACGCTGTTCGGAACCTACCTGTCCCCTCTTCAAAGCAGGTGGTATGAAATTTTCCCATATAAAATTCTAACCCTATGATTGCAAAAATAAGGATTGCAAAAAATAGGAGGAGGCCGATCTGCAGCAAAGGGATCATTGCCTTCATGATCGACTTCAGGACGACTTGTAAACCTGGGGAGACACAGAGAGAGAGGCCCTGCGGCCGTTAGCGAGCGCCCCCGGCCCCGGCCCACTGCCGGAGCCATCGATCACTTGGATGACCTTTCGGGCAGGAGAGGTGTGGGACCCGTCCTTCCCCAGCCCCGTGCCTGCGTGTCGTGCAACTTGCACCCAGGTGGGGAGCCATTTTCTTAATTTTTTTCCTGCGAACAGGGGGCGTCTTTTCCCCAATTCATGCAAGAGCGCCATATACTTGCTGCTCTACATGGGGAAAGCAACCCAATTCCAACCTGGAGGAACCAGACTCCACATTATTTCACGGGCTTCCAGCGACAGCCCCCTGCGGTGGGCGTACGTGCAAAATCACTCCCGCAGTACGGAGAGGGGAAGCGAGGCTCAGAGCGGCGCCGGGATTCACCCAGGTGCACGAGAAATGGCAGAGGTAGGATTTGAACTCGGGTCCCTGGGACCGGAAGCTTCCACGTTCTGCTGTGTAGTGATGCTGCTGTCTGTTCTGAGCAATCGGATCCCACAAGACGGTGGGGAGTGAGACGGCGAGCACTAGAAGCTGGGGGTGCTGCCATCAGTCCCATCAGGGACCCCACATGAGCCCTAACCCTAACCACGCTCAGCAACAAGTGTAACCACGTGGGCTGGCGACTGAGTGACTCCGGGCTTCAAGATCTCTCGGGGGAGGAAGGGGTTAAGTTGGTAAAAGTTACGTTTTCATTCTAGTCTAACAGTTCCACTATTGTAAGACTCAGGGAACACTCATAATAATGATCACTGCCTTTCTTTTTTTTTTTTTTTTTTTGAGGCTTCTAACTCAGGTGTGAACAATGTCAAATCCTGTGTCTGTAACCACCGGGCTGTCTATTAGGAAAGCGATTGAAGTGAAGGTTCGAACACACAGCTTGGGGCTTCGATTCTGGATTAGGAACACAACTCCGAGGCTCATGATCAGCACCTCTCGACGGGCAGAGACCACAGCAAGGCAGGGAAACCGCAGGCGGGGTGCTCTAAGGGGCTGTGTTTCCTCCAAGGGGTTCAAAACGGAACGCCGATGCCAACGAAGGCAGTGACGGGCACAGGGTCACCTGGGAACGAGCCACACCCGGCTAAGTCCGTGGTGCACAGGTAAGTCATTAAACAGAGACTCTTGTCAGCCTTAGATCTGGGGTGGCCCCTAATGTCGTACGATGCCAGCTTCCGCCGGGGGCTTGCAGAGACCCGGGTAGAAGCGCCTTCTGTCCAAACAAAGACCCTGCCGGCGGTCAGCCGGGACATCTCGCTCTTTACACCCAGGTGGCAACAGCACAGCCGCTAAAATGTAACACGGTGACGGGGACAGAGCCCACCTACCTCAGAGGCTTGTTGGGAGGATAAACGAGTTTTAAAAAAATGGCGAAACACTTAGAACAGTGCCTGTCACACAGTAGGCGATTTATAAACAATTATTAACAGCCGAGGCAGTAGCACCGAAAAAGGGCAGCCCTGTCCTTTTTCTTTTTTTTTTTTTTCTTTTTTAAAATTTTCTTGCTGAAACTATATCGTGTTCCGTACCCAGCCTATGGAACCAGCCCCACAGGAGGGGGGATGCGTCCGTGGAGAATTGGAAAGCGGCAAGGAGCCGGTATGGAGTTTGGAGCTTGTCACTGTCAACCTGCGAGAGTTCAGGTGATTTACATCCTCTTTTAGCCTCAGCCTTCTCATCTGTAAAATGGGCGTGCACTGGGGGACTGTGAGGGCAAAATAAGGTCACGGAGGCAAAGCCCTTTCTGCAGTGCCCGGTGCCCGGTAGGCACTCAGTAAACGGGAATGGTCACTGCCACCAGTGTCACCGTCCAGGCTTGCAGTCACGCTTGCTATCTCTCCTAGTCTTGTCATTTCTCAGGCACGAAACCCTGCTCCAGTGTTTTCAGCCACTCTGAACCCCAGCTTCCTCCTCCGTAAAACGGAGGTTATCGGTGCGATCGACTTGGTAGGGCTGTGAGCGCTGCACGAGATCACGCCGACAGCACGCGCTCGGTGAACGGGCGCAGCTCCCGGCAGCCTCTCCAAAGAGGAGGCTGTTCTCCCACGGGCCGGGGGACCCTCCCGAGATGCTCTGCAAAGCGGACACCGAGGGCTCCCTGGGGCCCCCCGAGCAGCAGACCCCTCAACAGGGCCGGAGACTCACGCACTTGGGATTCCAGACACCAGCTTGAGCGGCCGCAGCACTCGGACTGCCCTCAGCGTCCGCAGGTCGAACTCCGTCCCCACCGTCGCCAAGATGCTGGAAGAGAGAAAAGCAGAGCAGAGAGCAGAGGTGGGTCTCAGGGTCGGAGAGCTGGGCGGGGTGCGTGGGGTTCCGGGTTGCACTGTCTTGTCCGGGTGGGGCGGGGGCCACAGGCAGGCGACTTTACGTGGCTGGCCTCAGTTCCGTCACCTGTGAAATGGTCTTAACAGCACCTGCCTCGCTGATGAACAAAACAAAAGGTGATTTGCAGAGACCCCGGACAGGCGCACGGTGGATGCTCCGAGAACGTCACAACGAGAGAAGCGGAAGCTCCCCCGGCCCACCGTTGGGGGGGGCGGTCAGTATATTTCACAGCCTACAGCCACGGCGGGTCTCGGGGCAGCCCCGGGCCCTGGGGGGATGGCAGAGCCTTTGTGCGGACTCGGGGCTCTTCGCCAACTGGCAGGAAAGTCGTTCAGGATGCAGAGCCCAGCCTGCACGGGTTCAAATCCCGGCTCTACCACTTCCCAGCTGGGTGACCTTGAGCAAGTCACTTCCCCACTCTGTGCCTCAATTTCTCCCTTTTGTATAACAGGGGTAGCAATAATACCAATACCTCAAAACGTCGGGAGGATTAAATGAGTTGATATTTGTGAAGTGCCAGGTACACAGGCAGTGTGTGCTACACTGTTCAGAAACAAACAAACAAACAAAAAATAGGTGCGCTATTCCCATGTGGGCCAGCTGTCATCAGCCCCTAGAAAGGGGCTACAGACCCCAAACCTTGGGTCAAAAAGAGTGACCCTTGCAAATCCAGGTGAGTACGAGTCACGGCAACAGGTAACATGAGCCCTCCCTAGAAGCCCTCTGGGCAAGGTCTCGTCCCAAGACCTCATTTGTCAAAATAACACAGGTGACACAAGGGGTCCCTCCTGGACCTGTTAGCTGAACGTGTCCACTTCAGAGGTAAGTGACATGCGGTGAGCCATCAAGGCACAACGCAAAGAAGCCACGGACAGGAAATGCTGAACACCAGAGGGCTCTGAGGGTCAGAGGAAGACGGCCATGGCGAATAATCTGGGGACATCTTCAGTGTTGCCCAGAGACCTGGCGCTGACCGTGTCAGCCTGCGGCCAACTGGTATCTGCACCTCTTGGGCTTTAGAGCTTTCTCCAAAACTGGGGCAGGCCCCGGGAATGGACGCCCCTAAGGGAGCAGCCCTCAGCTGGTGACTGCTGGGAGCAGGCAGGTCAATACCACAGCTCCCTCCCCCCTCATTCCGGATCGCTTCATGACGGGAGTCCCGCATGGCCTCGCGGCGAGACTGAGCGCAGCTGCCCGTGGGGGTAACCTGCCAGTCACCCCACCCGTCCTTGTCTCACCTCCCTTCTCTTCTCCCCCACCAGCACTTGCTGGGGTCTCCTTTCTGATGAACTATGTATGCACCTGAATCCTTGTTTCAGGATCCATCCTGAGCCACCCCAAACTAAGCCAAGGAGCGCACCCAACTCCTCTTCTAAGATTACTCCCTACAGCAGAGATGGGCATGTTAGGTTGGACCCACATGCTTTCCCACCATCCGCAAAAGTGCATCAGAGAACATCCTGTGTGCTGGGTAGAGTGTAACGCAAGGCTATCCCTGTCCCGTGGACAGCTGAGGGAGAAGAGAAATGTTTAAGGAAAACATGCACACAATGAACGAACGTGTCTCAGGTGTGGTGGGCTCTCAGAGAGAGCTGGGCAGACAGTGGCTTTGAGGGGGCACACGGAAGTTCGTGTTGATTAGTCTAGGACCTGGGGGTGCCCCCTTCTCAGGCCGACATCTTACAGATGAGGAGGAGAAACTGGTAAGTGAAGAAAGAACTTTCCAGGCCGAGAGAATGGTCGAGACAGAGAGCGTGGGACTGGAAGGAGCCTGGCAAATTTAAGGAATGGCGTGGGAGTATGACTGGGATTTGGATGGTGAGGGCAGAACGGACGGCACTCCACGAAGCCAGATTGTTGGTGGCTTCCCCTATGGTCGCCCCCCCATACAACTTTTAATTTGATTTCACTCTATTTTTCTCTCCTCCCCACCATCTTTCTGATACTAATTTGGATCTCTCAAATTTTGTCTTATAGGTTGGGTGCCGTGGTTCACGCCTATAATCCTAGCACTCCAGGAGGCTGAGGTGGGAGGACTATTTGAGGCCAGGAGCTCAAGCCCAGCCTGAGCAAGAGTGAGACTGTGTTTTTACAATAAATAGAAAAATTAGCTGAGCGTGGTGGTGTGCACACTTGTAGTCCCAGCTACTCAGGAGGCTGGGGCAGGAGGATCGCTTGAGCCCAGGAGTTCGAGGCTGCAGTGAGCTGTGATGACACCACTGCATTACAACCTGGGTGACAGAGTGAGACTCTGTCTCAAAAAAAGAAAAATTCTGCCTTATTCTATTCCTGCATCTTACTTTCTTTTGTCCTGGCAGATAAAAGCTGTCTGTTAGGGTGTGCACAACAAATGATGAATGTTCACTGAATCTTCGTTTATTCACTCAACAACATTAACTGAGCACCAGAAACATGCTAGGTCCTCTCCTGGTCCCGTGGACACAAGTCACAGAAATGCCTGTCTCCATGGGGGAAACGGAGAGCAAACCCAATAAATACCTTGCTTTATTGTGCTTCAAAAATGTTGCATTTTTTTTAACAAATTGAAGGTTTATGGCAACTCTGTTTCAAGCAAGTCTACAGGTCCATTTTTCCAGCAGCTTGTGCTACTCACTCTGTGTCTCTGTGTCGCATTCTGATAATTCTCACAGTGTTCCAAAGTTTTTCATTACTGTCCTACCTGTTCTGCTGACCTGGGGTCAGCCATCTTTGATGACACTCTACTGTAACTGTCTTGGAGCACTGTGAACTGCACCTGTATAAGACCGTGGACTTAACCGATAAACGTTGTATGTGTTCTGACTGCTCTACCCACCGGCCTTTCCCCATCTTTCTCCGTCTCTTTGGGCCTCCCTACTCTCTGACGCACAACAATATTGAAATTAGACCAACGAATAAGCCTACAACGACCTCTCAAGTGTTCCGGGGAAAGGAAGAGCCACACACGTCTCACGACAAACCGAGAGCTAGAAATGATGGTGATGATCGAGAAAGTCTCGTCGAAAGCTGAGCGAGGCTAAGGCTGGGCCTCTAGCTTCCGAGCTGCGAGTCCAAAGGGAAAGTTATTACTCAGAACCAGTATGCTAAAAACCAAAAAAAAAAAAAACCAAAAAAAAAAAACAAAGGGAAAGTTATGGAAGGAAACTAAACTCCAGTGAACACACGAATGGTGAGAAAGTGAAACAACCTTAGGGCTGATACGGAGAAAGTCCGAGTGGTCTGGATAGAAGATCAGAGTCCCCTTAAGCCAAAGCCTAATCTCAGAGCAAGCTCCTGACTCTCTTCGATTCTCTGAAGGCTGAGAGAGGTGAGGACGCTGCAGAAGGGAAAAGTCTGAAGCTAGCTGAGGTTGGTTCATGAGGTTTAAGCAAAGCAGCCATCTCTGCAACATAAAATTGCAAGGAGAAGCAGCAAGTGCTAACATAGAAGCTGCAGCAAGTTATCCAGAAGATCGAACTAAAATCGTTGAGGAATGTAGCTACACCAAACACTAGATTTTCAATGTAGACAAAACAGCCTTATGTTGGAAGAAGACTTTCACAGCTAGAGAGAAGAAGTCAGTGCCTGGCCTCAAAGCTTTAAGCCGACTCTCTTGTAAGGGGCTAATGCAGCTGAGCTGGCAACTTAAAGTTGAAGCCAGTGCTCACTTAGCGTTCCAAAAATCCCAGGGCCCTTAAGAATGATGCTAAATCTATTCTGCCTGTGCTCTATAAGTGAGACAACAAAGCCCGCATAACAAGAGTATATCTATTTACAGCCTGGTTTACCGAATATTTTCAAGCTCATTGTTGAGACCTACTGCTTGAAAAAAACCCCAAAAAGATCCCTTTCAAAATATGATGGTTCATTGACAGTCCACCTAGTCACCCAAGAGCTCTGCTGGAGATGTACAAGGAGACGAGTGGTATTTTTATGCCTCGAACACAACATCCATTCTGCTGCCCGTGGATCAAGGAGTCATTTCTACTTGCAAGTCTTTTTTTTTTTTTCAAGAAACACATTTCATAACGATGTAGCTGCCGTAGATAGTAATTTCTCTGATGGATCTGGGCAAAGCGAAATGATAACTTTCTGTGAAGGATTTGCCCATCTAGGTGCCATGGAGAACACATGATTCACGGGAAGAGGTCAAATGCCAATATTAACGGGAGTTTGGAAGAAGTTGCTGCCAAGATGATTTGAAGGGTTCAGGACTTCAGCGGAGGAAGAGAATGCAGATGGTGTGGAAACTGAAACAGAACTAGAACTAGAAGGGGAGCCTGAAGATGGGACTAAATTGCCACAATCTCACAATAACACCTGAACAGATAAAGAGTTGCTTCTTATAGGCTGGGCGCGGTGGCCCATGCCTGTGATCCTAGCACTCTGGGAGGCCGAGGCAGGAGGATCGCTCAAGGTCAGGAGTTCGAGACCAGCCTGAGCAAGAGCGAGACCCCCGTCTCTACTGAAAATAGGAAGAAATTATCTGGACAACTAAAAAATACATAGAAAAAATTAGCCAGGCATGGTGGCTCACGCCTGTAGTCCCAGCTACTCAGGAGGCTGAGGCAGGAGGATCGCTTGAGCCCAGGAGTTGGTGGTTGCTGTGAGCTATATGATGACACCACTGCACTCCAGCCTGGAGACAGAGCCAGACCCTGCCCCAAACAGACACACAAAAGTGAGGGGCTGAGCCATACGAGTATGTCAGGAGAACACTCTAGGCAGTGGGGGCAGCCAGTGCAAAGGTCCTGTGGCTGGATCAGGCTGGTGCATCTGAGGAACAGCAATGAGGCTGCCGTGGCTGGGGCAGAGTGAGGGAAGGGGGAAGGAGAGAGGAGGTGACCGGGCAGACGGGGCAGGGCCTTGTGGGTCTTGGTGAGGACTCTGGCTTTTGCTCCGAGTAAGCTGGGAGCCATAGAGGGTTCTAAGCA